GGATGATTACCGAAGAAAACGAATACGGCTCTTGTCGCCGGAGCACAAGGACTTACACGGAGGTCATGCGTGATGAGAAGCTCAAGCGCAACAGACTCGAAGATCGAACTGGAAGGATTTGGCCGAGAAAAGGAAACTGGAGAAGGGAAAACAACCAGCTGGTTCTAAACGAAAGAGAGAGCACTCGAACGTGGGGATGGGATGCTCTGGACAGTCCGAATTGAAGAAAAACTCGCCGGCTCCACAAACTTTGAGCCTGGAATGCATGTCACAGGCGAAGTGAAGCTTGCACAAATCATCTGGCATCTTTGCAACTGTCTCCCACTTGAGAGTATGTTCATCCATTTGCCATATAACAACTTCCGAGTATTCATCCAGTATCCTCGTCGCAACCAGAAGATGGTGAGCCACTCACAACGGTATCCACCACAGCCTTGCATAGGTCACAGAAACAGATTGGGCTCCACAATGCGAATGCTTTCTGCGTACTCTTCCACACCATCCTACGCAGGAAACTCACGCTGTGAATCTGTCAAGGCTTCAGCTTCCATGTCGTAGAACATGACCCTCACGTACCCGTTTCTGCCACTTTTCGCCAAGAAGCAGAACATGTTGCCAACGATGACATTGCACGGATAGAACTCAAGGTACTGCAGCGGTTCCAACTCCAGGACCTTCCTCCTGCTTTCGTATATATAAACACCCCTGACTTCACCGAATTCGGCCATTTCCACCACCCTGAACTCTTTTGAACTGCTCGCCTTGGGAACGATAGCTGCGGTGGACACGACGATCTTGGGCGGGATAGCCACCTGAAACGCCTCCGATTTGAAACGTGCATCATGGCCGAAAAAATCATCAGCGAATCCAGCCCGCCGCTGTTGATCTTGTAACCAGCAATCGCGTTGTTGGAGGTGCTCCGGCCGCAGGAACTTCATCCAGCTTGGCTGCCGCCTGCGCCGATCTCGCCGAACAGCCAGGGCATCCGATCCCGTGGATGAACAAGAGCCGATGTTCCTCCCCCTCTCCACCTGCATTTCTTTCGCAACGAAAGAACAACGCTATTTAGCTCGCCTCAAATGTTAATGAACTGGGTTTGAACATCGTCAGGAGAGCCCATTCCTTTGAAAGTGAAGTTCATTTTAAAGTTATGGGTTTTATAGTTCTGGGGACATGTCATGCTTTTCATTTATACCAATGCTTCGGTATAGTGTGGCCAATAAGATTTCCTGAAGACTGGGCTTGGTGTGGTACATGTAAGTTGTACCATGAATTTTTATTGCAAAAAAATTACTAATTTGACATCAGTGAAGTGATAATAATAAACATTAATGACATAAATTAATAATTTTTCTTGAGTAAAAAACAATAGAACAAGATGAAAATTTATATTGCTAGTTATTTATTTTTCCCAAGCATGCAGTAAAAATTTCATAAAATTTATGAAATCACCACTAAAAGAGTAATCAATAATGGTTATTTTCATTTCTTATGAAAAAATTGAATTAGTACAAGAAAAATAATAAAATGAAATATAATTTATATATGATTTTGGCAAGTAATAAAAATTTAAATAAAATATATAATATATATAATAAATAAAAACTAAAGGAAATCACATTAAAAGGTAATTTTTATACAAAAAAATTAATATAGTAGAAGCTGAGCATAATTTATCATCATGAGATATCATATAAGATAATGAAAATAAAAGTTATGCACTCCTATAATTATCAATCATTAAGAATATTGAAAAATATATACTTGATATAAAATTTAAACTAATATTAAAAAAAATTATCTTTGTTATAAAAATTATATCATTAAATTTATTAAATTTATTTTAATACAATGAATTCTCTTAGAATACGACATAGCAAAATTAAAATTAAATATAAATTATAAATAATGTCTATGAAATTTAGAACTCATGAATTAAAAAAATATATAACAAAGCATGTAGTTGCCCTTAACTCAGAAAATCCGAAAAGCTAGTAATATTTACCTCGTTATCCTTAGACCATGCCAATTCTTTCCCGATTGTGTGATCACAGTCTTATCCATATCCATGATGATATAATAATAATACATGTTTTTGATGGTCCAACTAGAGGCATGAGACCACAAGAAAAAAAAAAAAAGAGAAGAATGTAAGGGTGATAGTCAGGTGATGATAGTCTCATCCATGATGAAATATTTCTTCATTTGGCTCCAATTCAAAATGAGTCTAATTGAGACAAGTTTAACAATTTTAGCAACAACGTCCATAGAAACCTGACACCAACCTCAAATAACTTTTACTTGGCCAGATTGTTGTGTAGAGGCAATAATGCTAATGCAATTAACAAAGAATCCCATCTCATGGATAAGTTACTTGATGTGATTTCCATTGCTCTGTTTGCTAGCTGTTTTTCTTGCAAAGAGAGAAAATCACTCTCTTCATTCACTCTGATTGAATGCTTAGGCTCTTAGATCTGGGAAATTGCTGTGCCATCAGCAGTGGGTTAATCAAAATTGTTAACAAAACTAACGGTTGTTTTAAACTCTAAACACCTTATACTTTAATAAAAGATAGCGTGCAGGAAAATTTAAGAATATGCTGTATTAGTCCTCTATAAAGGAAGAGGTTTGAGGGTATTTTAGGTCAAGCTATGGAGGAAGGGCGAGAGCGAGTGGCACTGAACTCTGTAAGTTTTGACAAAGATCTTTATGGCGATCGGGTAGATTACGTTCGTTTCATAGGAACAACGCAAGAAGACAGCGAAGACGATGATCCAGGAAGAGCTGTGTCGAGGCCCCCATACACAGCTCCAAAGCCTTTACTCGAAGAAATTCCGGGCGAGGAGCCGAAAGATGAGGATCTGGGCTTCAGGAAGGAGCAGCCTATTGCTGCGAGGGAGGACGATTACCGAAGAAAACGATTGACACGGCTTTTGTCGCCGGATCGAAATGATCCCTTTCTTTCGGGGGACAAGACTCCACACCCGAGCACCAGGACTTACACGGAGGTCATGCGTGACGAGAAGCTCAAGCGGGATACGCAAGAGACTTTCCAGCAAATCGCGAAGATCGAACTGGAGAAAGAAAAGGATCTGGCCGAGAAAAGGAAACTGGAGAAGGGGAAACAACCAGCTGGTTCTAAACGAAAGAGAGAGGAGGACTCGGGTGCTGTTGTGAAGAAGGCCAAAGGATGGGATGATCCAGATGGTCCCTCGAGCTCGGCTCCAAGTGCCTTCGATGAGACTCCGAGGAGAACAAGATGGGATGAAACTCCGATAGCAACATCGAGAAGAGAGCGTTCTCGTTGGGACGATAGAACTCCGGTGACAAAGGTGGCTGATCAAACTCCCGTGATTTACACTCAGACCCCGGTGGGAGGAGTGGGCTTGCAAACTCCGAGCGAGGGGAAGATCATGGCAGCGCGGATGACTTCGGGGCTTTACGAACTCTTGAGCGACGAGGACTTGGATGCGATGCTACCAAGTGAAGGATACAAGGTGTTGGAAGCTCCCGCGAGTTATGTTCCTATCAGAACTCCTGCGAGGAAGCTTGTGGCAACTCCAACTCCAGTTCCCGGGTATGCTATCCCTGAGGAGGATCGCAGCCAGGAGTATGGTGTTTTGAAGGAAACTCCGGATGGTTTGCCGATGAAGGCCGAGGACGTCCAGTACTTTGGGAAGCTCCTGGGCAAGGAGAAAGAGGAAGATATGTCTCCAGATGAGATCACTGAGAGGAAGATCATGAAGCTGCTACTCAAGGTGAAGAACGGCACGCCTCCGCAGAGGAAGTCGGCTATGAGACAGCTGACTGACAGGGCTCGGGAGTTTGGAGCTGGCCCGCTTTTCAACCAGATACTCCCGCTGCTCATGTCTCCGGCACTCGAAGATCAAGAGCGCCACCTTCTCGTCAAGGTGATCGACCGGGTTTTGTACAAACTGGACGAGCTCGTGAGGCCGTATGTTCACAAGCTCCTTGTCGTGATCGAGCCGCTCCTCATCGACGAAGACTACTACGCTCGAGTCGAGGGACGAGAAATCATCTCCAACTTGAGCAAGGCAGCCGGGCTTGTAACCATGATCACGGCGTTGAGGCCTGATCTCGACAACACTTGCGACTACGTGAGAAACACAACGGCCCGTGCGTTCAGCGTGGTGGCATCGGCACTCGGGATCCAGTCGCTGCTCCCGTTTCTAAAGGCGGTGTGCGTGAGTAAGAAGTCTTGGCAGGCACGGCACACGGGGATCAAGACTGTGCAGCAGATCGCCATTCTCATGGGCTGTGCCGTGCTTCCACACCTGACTTCACTCGTGGAGATCGTCAAGCACGGCCTGGACGATGAGAACCAAAAGGTGAAGGTGATCACGGCCTTGGCTCTGGCCGCTCTTGCCGAGGGTGCAGAGCCTTATGGGATCGAGAGCTTCGACTCGGTTATGATACCTCTATTCCAAGGATTGGGGAAACACAAGGGGAAAGTTTTGGCCGCTTTTCTCAAGGCTATGGGGCGTATAGTCCCACTGATGAGCGCCGAGCATGCAAGTTTCTTCATCAAGAATGTCATGCCTGTCGCGATCAAACAGTTCGAGTCACCCGACGAGGAGATGAAGAAGATTGTTCTGAAGGTGGTGAAACAGTGTGTTGCCACTGATGGTGTGGAGGCTGACTACGTCCGGCAGGAAATCCTCCCCAAGTTTTTCCAGTATTTCTGGAAGCGACAGATGGCGCTGGACAGGAGGAACTACAGGCTGGTTGTGGAGGCCACGGTGGAGATCGCGAACAAGGTTGGAGCTGCTGATATAGCTGAAAAGATGGAGGAAGGTTTGAAGGACAGCAGCGAGGAGTACAGGAAGATGGCTGTGGAGACGATCGATAAAGTCCTGTCGCAGCTGGGAGCTTCCGGGGTCGACAGCCGAATGGAGCAGCTCCTGGTTGACGGGATGATATACGCGTTCCAGGAGCAGCCGGAGACGAGCAACGGTACGATCATACTCAATGGTTTTGGAGCACTGGTTCACGCACTGGGATCGCGAGCGAGGCCTTACTTACCACAGGTATGCGGGATGATCAAGTGGAGGCTCGGCAACAAATCCGCCAGAGTTCGTCAGCAGGCAGCCGACTTGATCGCTCGCATCGCGCCGGCCATGCTCGAGTGCCAAGAGGAGCAGCTCCTGGCACACCTCGGAGTGGTCCTCTACGAGTCCCTCGGGGAGGAGTACCCGGAAGTTCTCGCCTCCATCATCGGAGCTCTCAAAGCCGTCGTGAATGGCATCGGCATGACGAGGATGACGCCTCCCATCAAGGACTTGCTGCCTCGCCTTGCTCCCATCCTCAAGAACAGGCACGAGAAAGTCCAGGAGAGCTGCATCGATCTGGTGGGACGGATCGCGGACCGTGGCGCCGCCTTCGTCCCGGCGAGAGAATGGATGCGGATATGTTTCCAGCTCCTGGAGCTGCTCAAGGCGCACAAGAAGTCGGTCCGGCGAGCAGCAGTGAACACTTTCGGCTACGTTGCTCAAGCCATTGGTCCTCAAGACGTGCTCGCGGCGCTGCTTGACAACCTGCGAGTCCAGGAGCGGCAGAACCGGGTGTGCACGGCAGTGGCCATCGCCATCGTCGCGGAGACTTGCAAGCCTTTCACGGTGCTGCCGGCGCTCATGAACGAGTACCGTGTCCCGGAGCTCAACGTCCAGAACGGGGTGCTCAAGGCGCTCTCGTTCTTGTTCGAGTACATCGGCGAGGTGGGGAGGGACTACGTCTACGCCGTGACGCCGCTGCTCGAGGACGCGCTCATGGACAGGGATCTGGTGCACAGGCAGACGGCGGCATCGGTGGTGAAGCACTTGGCTCTCGGGGTGGCGAACTTGGGCTGCGAGGACGCGCTGCTTCATCTCTTGAATTGCCTGTGGCCGAATGTGTTTGAGACGTCGCTGCATGTCGCGAGTGCGGTGATGGAGGCGATCGAGGCGCTGAGGGTGGCGTTGGGACCTGTGGTTATACTGAGCTACTGCTTGCAGGGGATGTTCCATCCGGCAAGGAAGGTGAGGGAGGTGTACTGGAGGATCTACAATGGCTTGTATGTTGGGTCACAGGATTGTCTGGTCGCTGCTTATCCTGTTATTGAGGATGTGGGGAGGAATGTGTACAGTACTAGGCCTGAACTTTATATGTTTGTGTGAGTGTTTATGCTTTTAGCAGCAACGCTCTTAAGATGAAAAGAAGCGAAGATGTCCCTGGTCTCTGATCAGAAAAGGTTTGTAATAAAGGATATTGCATTTGTTTTTCTGATTAATAGAAAACAACCTGTGAGTAAGAGGCCAGGCCGTGTGATTTTCCTTGTTGGTACGGAGTGTATCCTCTCGTGGATGCGGCGTACCAGATTCACAGCCCTTCATACTAATAGTATATGGCGTTCTTCTTAACATGTACCGTGTCTGCTTTTACATTACTTTGGCCCAACTATATGCTCGATGGCTAGTCGGAATCAAGGGTGAGATTGAGGCTGGAAAACCTTGGAAGTCCTTGAGCCCTTTTTATCCATGTTCCCAAATCCATCCAGCTCCGTTTCTGGGTTGAATGGAAAAGTGGAACACTGAAATATTGCAGATGTGGTTGTCCTTAGAGATGCAATGCAATGGTTCTCTACGATAATGTCAAACCAAACTTTTTATATTAAATTTAAAACAAAAGAAAGTTCATATTTATAAACACAAAGATTAATCTAAACCATCTTTATAAAACACACATATGAAATAAAAGAGAACTTGTTTTCTCTTTTTCCATATTAGAGTTCATGCATGGGCTTCTATTAGAGCTTGTGATCTCATAAGAATCTGGTGGTTGTGACCGAATTCGCTCAGGGCAGGCAGGTGCATTGAGTTCCATGTGATTCTAAGTTTTGGTTTTGTCTCATGCTTAATTGATCATGTGCATGTGAATAGATGCCACGTCCATGATGCATTCTTTTGAACTAATGATAAAATCTGATGCAACGTTCATTACTTTACAGCAGGTACCCAACACATTTTTAGGAGAGCACAACATAGCATTTGCTCTAGCAGCTCTAGTTAAAAACAAAAAACTGTCATAAAGAAGGAAAATTGAAAACACTACTACTACATAAAACCAGTAGATTCCATTATAATTATAAGCACAAGATATGTGTAGAAATATGCTAAAATGTGTTTAGGAAAGTTTAAAAATTCTTAACATGTTATAAATTATAAACACAAGATTGATTGCTAGATAACAATAATATAGAATATCCAAGAATATATCCACTACCTTCAAACCAGTAAAAAATTCAAGTATATCCACTACCCCTTGCTTAAGCAAACCAATAAAAAATTAGAACAATTTGATATATATCTTCTTATATATAAGGTGGCCATTTGAAAATCCCTAACACACTGTTGTTCTTATAATAGAAACAAATGACCTACCAGCCCGCTTGTCAGAAAAATGAGCCTTGAGATATTCTACAACTAGCTGCTTGTCTCCTTGGCTAGAATGTCTTTATAGACTGTTTGTTGAGCTCAGGAGCAAGACCATTCCTGCAGTCCCTCCACATCCATAGTCCCTGCCAAAAGAAAATGGGAATGTCATGATGGTGAAACTTATGCAACACTACACACTAACAACTCATATGACTTTTGTCAGCCAATACAGTTCGGAAATGCATCTACAATTTCCTAGAAGACATGTTAATGGACACTTCTTCCCTTTGTGTGAAGAATGAAAAATATTTATGATCTGCATATTCTTTCAAATAGTGTGTAGTCAATGAATTTGAAGAAAAAAAAAAAGGAAATATAAACTCCAAACAATTGTTAAAAAAAAAGTAAGAAATTTTATGAAGACAATTCTAGCATATCTTGAGCATAAGATTGAGTAGATTTGCAAGAGCAGAGAAGAGACTTGACACGAACCTTCTGCTGCCACAATACATAGAATAAATTTGTTGTAACCTATTTCTTTCTGTAAACAATATGGTGATTGATCTCAAGAATGTTCATTTGTGTAAACTTTGATTTGTGAGTTGTGTAAGCTAGGTCTTGATAGAACGATGAGATTAGAGAGATAATAAAGATTCATATAAAGGAAGAGAATGGCTAAAAGAATGTTTAAATATCCATAAACCTTATTGCCACTAGAGCTGCCACATTGTTGCTAAAAAGAATCCATGCAATGTAGTCATCTACTAATGCTGGCCACAGAGGAGAGAGTAGCAACTCCTCCCAAATTAGTTATTATAGAAGCCTCTTCTTTCCCTATACAACTTCTTTCAAGTGCCCTATGGCAATTGTAAGCTCCCCGACCCAAAGGTAAGATCATCCATTTCATGGCAATAGTAAAATAGGGAGTTTTTATTGTGCCATGGCCAAAATTTCTTATTTTTTCTAAGATTTGATATAATATGATATTTTTGGCCAAATAGGGTTTTTGAGTGAGACCATAACCTTGTGAGTGGCAATGGTACAAGAAAAGCATTCAATACGTACTATTGGGCAAGAGTGGTTCTAGAGAGGGAGTGATCATTGGCATGTGGCACCACTATGGTGGTGGGCAGAAGGGTGTTGTTAATCATGAGGTAGTGATAATCTTCTGAAGAGCTAACAACCACACATATTTCATCAAATGCTTTATATTTGTTCTTTTTGCTTCTGTGTTCATAGCAAACAAATGATGAAGTCCATAAAGATACTATATCAATGGCTCTAAGGAATAAACAAAGATTGCAAAAGTCCCCCCGGCTTTTCTTATGGCACCTTAACTTGTTGATAGAGCTCACATGATTTACAATATTCAAGGGTATTAGTTTTTATATTCCTCCAATAAAAAGTGCGTGTAATCAATTCATATGTCTTTTTCCCCCCAAAATGACCAGCCTCTGGATGATCATGATAATGGAATAAAACTTGAGTAATTAATGCATCCACTTGTGGCAAATATACATTGCCATTATAGTAAAGAATCCCATCCACTAATGAGAAATATGCTTCCATTTGGGTTTGCAAAGAAACCACCTTAGCATCTTGAGCCTGAGCACACTCAACAAACTACCCAAATTCGTTAACCACCTTATTTAAATGATGATAAAACTGTGTTTGTAACACTATCATATAACAAATATGAAATAAAGCATTTGCCACCACATTCAATTTTCCTAGATGATGCTTAATAAGAAACTCCCTAAACTCTATGAGTTTGACCATCCAACGAGTTTGCTTAGTGTTCAATTCTTTCTTTGTGAAAAGATACACAAGAGGTTTGTGATCCATTAACACCATAAATATTGCTAGTGATGCCATATCCACAAACCATGAATAATGGAGAATAACTCTTGCTTATATGTAGAACAACATTGCTTTATAGGATGTAAAGTTTGACTCTCATATTCAATAGGTTGTCCCTCTTGCATGAGAACTCCTTCCAGTGCATAACCACTCAAAGCATTTCAGCCGTTGCACATGCACAATCTCTGGAGGATCGGCCTGCTGAACGTCATGCCGAACCTCATAAACTTGTGGTCCAACTTGCCGCAACACTCGATATGGTCCTTTCCATTGCGCAAGAAGCCCTTAGATAAACCACGTACCGTAAGATGGGGAAAATGGACTAACACCAAATCATCCACTTTGTACTCCGCAGGTGGATGATGATGGGAGTTGTAGCGCCATTTTTGTCCCACTTGTACGTGGCCTAAGTGTTCGGCAGACTCTGCTCGGAC